GTTCCTGTTTCCTGGTAAGCAAAGTTCAATTGAGAACAAAGTCGTGATTCAGAGCATTACAAATGTGTGTGTGGATGTATAAATATAGCACCTAAATAACAGTTTCCCTCATCAAAATGTCAATGACTGGTGCAAAGTTTTCTTTCATCAAAATACTAATGACAATATCCGACGAAGTGTTTTTACTAATACTCTAGAACCAACAGCATATGAACCATAGTCATATTTCTAGTAACTGGTTATAACCAACCTGCTTCTTGACCCAGCTTCCTCTTCCAGCAGATCGAGGGCAAAGCAACACTTGCACTGAAGAGTGCTTGAAAAAACGGCGAGTCTCTTCATCATTTGTGTGCATGATTCCTTCCTGCATAGTGTAGAAGTGGGTCAGTGTCTAGTTCAAGCAGAAACAAGACTAATTTCTACTTTAAGTAGGAGAAAACTATTGAAATGATACTTAAATGACATATAGTATTAACACTCCATTTAATTACTCAAAGCAAAGATTCTAAAAGGAATAAGATAGAAAAACTGATAGTCTAGCCTACGAAGCCTTATCAAGGTAGTTCAAGCAGGTTATGCTCAGCCACATTAATCATACCACAATTTCTAACAAAGCATATATTTTGATGTTGAATAATGCTCTGTTCCATGATGATGACTGCGTAACAGTTAGTATCTTGATTCCTGTGCAACTACATGACAGTACATGGTTCAAGATTTATCAGCTGTACTTGAAAACTCATCAACTATACCATACTACACTACAGGGCTCCCAAGACATACAAGTGGTGCATACTATTTTTGTCCCATTATGGAGAAAGGGCAAAGATCAAACCCGCAACCACATTGTTGTTGGCTCTCCAACATTTTCTTACTCCTTTATGAAACTTTTAGTCTTTAAACATCTCTTATGCATATAAGATATCTTACAGTGAGGATATGAAAGAGAAAGGTATTTCTCGGGGGAGGGGGGGAGGTTGAGCAGGACAGAAAGAAAGGAAATCCCCATCCACATTTAAGAGTTAAAAACACAGAACCAGGAAATAGAAAATGGCAGGAAGTTTTAAGTTTGAATTATTATGTACCTATGGAAATTGGAACATGAAAACAACACAAAAGTAAAGAAAAGAAGTTTCTTCAGTTGCTCACCGTTTTGTATCCTAAAATGCTCCTAGAAGTAGGATCATCCCATACAAGGAGCAGCACCCTCACACCTTCCTGTGACTTAGTTTTGAGAAGATCCCCTAATGTGGAATTCGTTGCCTTATCAGTTTCACGTACAAGTCTGACATTGTGATAAACAGACCATCCTGCAATGTATATCAGACGGCGGGCCTGACTTATAGCATTACAGATGTCCTGCCAGCAGTTCCCATGCTCATATTGAACATTACCATCAACCTTCAAATTGGGAAGGAAACCATCATGGACATGAGCATCTTGATACAGAGTAACTTTCCCACCTGTCCTAAGAGGAAAGTATGTACCAGGGACCCCATGATGGTCAGGACCTGAACCTAATCCCTTATGGTAAAGCGCCACTTTCTCAATTGGGGTGTACTGAATTGATAAAGTCAATACAGCTCCAGGCTTACAAGGCTTCCCATTTGCATTGAGGATAGGGAAAGTTCCCTCAATTTTTGTGCCTGAGCATAACTTCTCAACCGGGATGCCAACAGCTCCCATGATCTGTGAGCCCACTACATCACTGTCTTTGACAACAAAATGGACTTCTGGAGCATAATGTGCAACAGGAACGTTAAAATGCTGCATCCAAACCGGGTTCTCGGTATTACTAATAACAAAAGTCCTCCCAATTACAGCACCAGCCGCAGAAACTGTAACATAAGGATCACTGGTAATCTTGTGAGGCATATGGCCTTCAATTTTGCTGTTAACTTTCAAATTGAACTTCCCGAACACGTCACCTAACTTCTTGTGGAATATATCCATGTTAGGAAGGTTTTTAGCCTCCTTGACCCAAATATCTAAGTTGCCATGTAACAGCAAAACCTTCAAGGACCCATTCGTTGTCTTAAATGGCAGAACTTGTTGGCCCTGACCATGGCTTGAGCCTCCGAAGGACAACGTTTCATGGAAAAGTGTACTAGCCATTAGAATATAAAACAAGACTGGATTATTTTGGTTGTGGCACTAAACTGAATGACTATCAAGGGAAAAATTGGAGCTTGAAAATTTCCAGGACAACAATGAAGAATATAATCCAAGATCAGAATCTATTCAATATCCAATTCTTTTAGACACTGAAATAAGTAGAGGCTGTTACCAGAAACAAAACAGGCACTCGAATAAATCTAGGCTATCTGTTAAAATTGAAACAGATTGCACCCGGAGGAAGGTTTTCTGGATTGAACAAATGTAGGTAAGAGAGAAAAACTGGGTCTTCAAGGAGGTATGAGGGTATGCATATGAAAGAGAAAACAAGAGTTGAATCGGTAAAAGAAAGTGGGAGGCATAGAAAGAAAAAGATATGTTTTGAGATTGTAGTTAATGGAATTGATAAACACGAACATATAATAAACAATCCAGAAATTGAACGGTATAGTTGAATGAGTTGAAAGAAACGAAGAAGGAGAAGAAAATTCACAACTACCCAATAAAAAATAGTCAGAAGGGGACCCAATATATTTCTTGAAATGGTATATTCAGCAGGCAAAAAACGTTTTGAGACTACAGAGATGGAGATTTCAATGCTTGTGAAGCAGTGTACAGGACAAAGCCAAAGAAGAGACCCGAAGAGACAAATATTAGTTCTGGGGTGCTGCTCAGAACGTTCCTTTTCGTGTCTGGTCTTTGGTATTTGCTACCATTATTAAACTAGTGGTTTTTTAGTTCCCATTGTAAGGAAGGTTTACTTCGTCAAGGGAAAGCCGGCTTTCATCTACCTTGAACATCAGCAGCCAAGACAAGGGGCGACACCGTTGTCAACTCCCCCTATTTCCCCTAAAGCGGTCAAGGAAAGCCCACCTATACTTTGATTAGATCGTTTTTCGCATTTCACTTTTCATCCGAGTCATCAGCAGCCTGTACTTATTAATTGTACGGATTGTCCATAAAAGGAAACAATGATCGAGGTCGCCACCTTATTATTAATGAATTTATTGCAATGGCGTAGAACCGCATTGGTCAGCAACAGAACCAAAGTCAAGACTGAAGAATCAATGCATAAGAACATGTCAAAATGTTTTAACAGTAAGTTGATAAATTGACAGTCCCATTTTCTCTTATACACCATTAAGATTTGATCTGTTGGTCTTCAAAACTAATGGTTATTTTAATTAAATCTCATAATCCTTTCAACTTATCATATAATGGCTGTGTTCAATGTACATAACACAAGATAGAGAAGACATCCGCCTAACCTCATCCATTTGCAAATAGTTTTAGATTGACAGAGATTTCTCTTCTGTCCCGTTCAATTGGAGAGTGAAATCAAAGCCCTCGAAATAGTAAAGGTTGTATTGTATTTAAGATTCAATCATAAATTTCTAGAATGTTATCATCCGAATTAGTTAACACGTAGTGATCGAGTTCAAGGCTCGCGATCAAACCAAATTCTCAATTCTATCTCCAAAGAGCAATTTTCCATTTCATGGCAGAAGTCAGAATAATCCAACGGAAAGTGTTTCAAATAGAAGGTTTATCTGATCTGCCTGTATCCTCTCTACTCCCTGGCTTGGTGTGCATTTTTCCGAAGGGGTTCGATCATAATCAATTTGCTGGTCAATGATGTTGAGTCCAAAGCAGTGGCTACACCGTGCAGCGACGACTTAAGCCCCATTTAGAAGCTCGTGGTTTCGATGCAAAAGGCATGGCCCAACCCCAGGTAGCATTAATCATAGCTAACGACAACGATTGAGACACCAATGAGAACTCCATTCTAGTTCAAGTTTTATGGCAAGAAAGAAAGAAAGGTCTCCTTTCGACACCACTTCATGCTTCTTATCAAATCCGAGTTGGAGTTTCGTATATGGGGTTTCAGTTTAAACCCTGCCAGAGAAGGAAAATTTTGGGGGAGGGGCTTGATTTTGTACCCTATCTTCCCCGGTTCCCCCCTCCTTTTCTTTTCTTATTGTTCAGTCTTGATTTTTCCCTGCCGCCATAAATTGAAAACTGAAGCATTGAATTTTTCCTTGATATACGTTACTCAATTCTTGAGAAAAATCTCGATTTCAATCTCTCATTTTGAAATCCAAATTGTCTGCTCTGCAATTTTACCAAATCTCCCACAATTTTAATATTTATTTGTTTTGCACTCAATCATTGAGTTCATTGATTGTATAATTTTTTGTTCAAAAAACAATCCTTTCTTCAATTATAAAAAAAAGCTTTAATACTTTTTTAGTTTTTTTTATTTTTTTAAATCGTAATTGATATTTTGATTATAAAGAGATGAATATTAAAACCCAAAAAAAAAAAACCAAAATCATATTTTTGTTATTAGATCTTTATTGTTTTAGCTTCAAGAAAGAGAAAAGCTGAAGGAAGTGGAGACTGTGAGATCAGCCTGTTAAGGCCCAATTTGGACATGAGCAAGTGACTGAAGTGAGAGTAAGGCTTGGCTATGACCAAGGTTGACCAATCCGAATTGGCAAATGAGTTCCCTCCCCCCACAGGCATTTTCCCATGCAAACCTGAACAAATCCGTCTCTTCCTCACCCTGTATCACCCTGATTCTCCACCTTCCTTCTGCCGCAATTATTTCAAAGCTAGCCCAAAGTCGAGCTACTGATTTTGTGTTGGTAGGCTTCACACACAAAATTTTGATGGATGAAACTTTGAGAGTGATCTTTCTGATATGAATATTGGACCTTTCAACTTAGATTTCTTATCCAATACACGAGTCAACTTAGTATAAACGTATCACTGACAATTAAACTAATGCAAATCATTCTTATTTTCAAAAGGAAACTCAGTTTTGGGCGTTGTTCATGCATTGTCTCTGTTTCGAGTTTGGAATTGTAGCAATGACTCGCATCTCAACCAGTAAACTTTCAATATGAATATATGAAATTAGAGACATCTCAAAGGAAGAGGAGATGTGACAGGAAGTATGTTTACTTTGTTAGAAACTTGAATCTGCACACTTACATGTAAGCTATATAAAATCAATCTATTACAACCTGTACCTGGTTTTGGAAAGCATCTAACTTCCCAGATTCTTTCAGTACCATCACAAAATGTTAGCCCAGAGCTATTTACCCCAAGAGGTCACACAATAGCTATACCGACATCATCATTCATCAACACGTTGAAACTTCCTTTCTTCTCCATTCCTCACGGAGTTTCGTTGTCTACCTTTTCCTTTTGGACTTTAAGGAGGTCACAGATTGAGAGTTGCTATGCCAGTTGCGCTTCCTTTGGTTGATGAACCAGTTGTTGATTTGCTTTAGCTGCAGCCCTGTCTCCTCCACAAGTTTGGCCTTGTCATCTTCCTGTAATTATCATATGAAATTATCGTTACCGATCATTTCAAGTGGTATGGCTAATTTGCAACTCAGAAAATTCTGACTGGATATGCATTCTGTGGAAACAGCTCTAATGATCAGTCATGTTGTTGTATCATCCCGGAGCTGTCCTCCCTTTAAATGAAATGAATAAAGGCATGGTATTGGCAAGACTGAACCCCCAAATAAGATAAGAAACTCGTGTTGGTGGTAATCATGCAAAAATTTTCAATAATATTGAAAAGTGAAGTTAGTTGCTTACAGTTGGGTATGGCCACTTTGAGTGTTGCTGCCACCAGTTCTTCAGCACTGTAGTTGTGTCACCTGGTAATTTTCCAGCCCTTCTTTTTCGCAAAATTTCCTCCCTCACATCTTCAATTCTAGATTTGAAACCCTGTACGGACATAACAAAAATGGTGTTACCTTTTATTTGCCGTGATGATCAAGCCTATAAATACTTAAATCAGTAACTCTGCTTAGGATCCTGATCTCAAAAGGAGGGCAACTTCTCATGAAAAACTTTTTATTGCAGAGACTTGTTTAATATTTTCAAATGAAACGAAAAGAAAAAATCTACAATATAAAGTCTGTTGCAACAATGATTTAAAACAATCACCTGTTTTAGTTCAATCTTCAGCTCCTGACGAACCCTCTCCATCAAAGACCTTTCAGATTCTGTAGGAAGTAGGGGACCAAAACCCATTAAGTCATGCCCATCAGCGCCAGATTGATCCAAAGAGAAGTCCATCTGCAACTCGTCCTCGTCATCTGACATTGTTGCACCTGTGCCTTCACCCAAGGTTACTCCTGAAAAAAAATTGGAAAAGAAATACAGTCAAGAAAAACTCACTAAGCAATCATCATAGTTTCTTAGACCAAAGGGTGTAATGGTTTTTGCTTAAATTAAGATTTATATATTGACTAGTTTGAGAATTCAGTGTCACGTTTGGTGCTTCAACTTTCAACGCAAGGTTAACAGACAAAGGTTATGTTGTGTTCCGAAACACGTTTTGCACTTGGGAGTTGACATCATTGTTGGACTAAGCTGATCCCGAGGAATTTGTTGGGCTAAGCTATCCTATCATGGAAGCCCGATGCAGATTCAAATTAAAAGCCACTTTTGTTGGGACTGTATTAGATTACTACAATTTATATGTTGCTCCAATGCCGCAGAATTAGATACCTTCATAGTCTGTTGCTTTAATTTTGTGAAAATAGAAGTAGATTCTAAACTATTTTCTAGAATTCTTTTATTCCATACACAAATATTAATAAAAGAACACTATTAGACAAAAAAAAAAACAAATTTCAAACAAAAACCTGTACTTTGACATATATCATGTGTATAATAAGATTCAAGATAATTCTAACAAACTTTAATGTTTTCATAAATGGGTATTTATCGAAAGTTAAGACAAGTTTTTTCCACCATTAAATAACCACTAACTAAACCTTAAGTGAATTTAGTATTTATAATCATTTTTGCTTTATTAAACTGATTATATTTCTTTATGAATACATTTAACCTAGCCCAAAATTTCTCTCAGCCAAGTCTTTTGGTTTGGAGTTGGACAGCAACTAAACCAATTTACGTTTTGCTAATAAGATTCTATTTTTTTTTTATTTCTTATAACTAAATTGTAGGATATAAATTCAAAGTCACTACCTCTTTTATATAAAGGTTGAAAAAGATGGAACTACTTTGCATCTTGTTAGCTTTTAGTCTCATATAAAATGTTGGTATGCATTAAACTAAGGATAAGCATGCATAAATTTTGAGGGGACAAATTGTCCCACAATTCTTAAATGAGGTAGGAAAAGATTAGTCTTTTCCTACTAAGCATAACAAGGTACATAGATCCCATAAGATGATGTCCCTCTCTCTATAAACAGATGACCATGACATATGATAAAATTTACACTTTATTGATTTCATACAACATGTCATGGTCCAAACACTCAGGACCACCATGACTGAGAGCCTTCGCTCTTTTAACCACATTCCACAAATGCTATGCAACCATCACATTTATGGAATCAAAAATATTTTATGATAGTTATCTGAACTTTTCACTTTTGGCCTGGAATTTGCAGGAGTACAAACAATTTTCATGTTTTCATTTTTTTATAGTTTTGTTATACTTTAAATAATGCCAACATTTTTAATATATCTAATTAGGCTTTGGTATGTGAAGTGGTTACAACTAACAAGTCAGATTAATGCATTTCCAGCTGGAGCTTAGTTCAGAAAATTATAGCCTAACCACATTGAAGGAACAACCATGTTATATTTTTGTGTACTTGACCGGCATGGCAGGTGGTTCAAATTAATTATGTATGCATAATTAAAACATTCATGACACAGCCGCAGACTACCAAACAAAAGCAAATTCCAGAAAGAAAATGAACATTATTTAGCATCTCTTTCAAGAAATGAAAACCCAGAAAACATCTCCACCAAGCATCTACAAGTGCAAAAAGTAGTTATTTAAATCTTTTATTTTGGACCATTAGCTTTCCAAGCCACCCCTTTTCTCAATCCTCCTTCCCTCTCAACTCATTCACCTTGCTCATATTTGAAACTTGCAATCCTCTTTGCAATCTTATACACCTAATTTGACTATCAAAACATTAATGTTTGCAGTTTATTATTAGAATGCTGCTTACCTTCACTTACAACAATAATTAATATACTTAAAAGATTAGTGTATTGAAAACAGTACTTTATTTTATTGGGACTTCTATGTTTTAAATGCTGAATATATACAACATCATAGCTGAGTTGCATGGTGTTTAAATTTCCTCAAAATTAGGTTGTTTGTATGGAGTAGCCAAGACTCCAATATTCTGATATAAACAGTGATAGCTTACCCTAGGGTAGGCTGGCGTCAAGAACTGATAATTAGAAACGACTGTTTCAGGCTTCACAGCCTTTCCCCGTAGACCAGCTGATCATATCTAAGATGAGATGTTATCACGTTTCATTAAAATTGTACAGCTTCCAAGCAGAAGCATGCAGGCCCAGAACGCAGGAAAACAAACTGCTTAACGCTTTAGACGCCAACTGTGTCAGAAAGGGCTAAAACAATGCGAGCCATGACTATTAGCTGCCAGAAACCGTCTTAATGATGTCTTTAAAGCTGCCCAAACCCTAAAAGCAGCCATATAGAACTGTCGACTTTTTGTACGTCTCTGACAGAATATAGTAACCAAATGAAAGACCCAATTTTATTCCCATTGAATTAAGCGTAATTAGCCACATAACGCACTGGATAATGTTGCTTTCATTATTCTCTTTCTTTCTTGTCACTTTTAACCAAACAAGCATATAAGCTAGCTAGCTTCATGTCTAGACGCTAGACTTTGATTAGCTTCATAATTCAAAAGAAAAGAGAGATAAAATGTAAAAAGTGCGTGAAACATTATTATCCTATTAAATCATTTGATAATGAATTCTTATGGTTGGTTCCATCCACGAATCTAAACCTCTAATACCTAACAAAATCATGTGTGAGGGCAATCATTCAACAAGATTCATGCATTTTGTATTAAGAAAAACTTAAATTGATGAAAATCAAATTATGATGGGAATAAAAGCAACCTTAGAAACCAAATATCCCAATGCAACCTTATTGTAAATTGTTGGCTATGGTGGTAAAGGTCGAGGTAGCGGGTGGTGAGACTGCCCTCTTCCACCCAACTAACTACCCTCGCAGCCACCCTAACTATAACCTATATAGATGCAAGGATTTTTAATTGGTAGGTCCTACAGCACCCACTTCTTGATACGGACTCTTAAGCTTGCAAGAAACCCAAATATCACTCCTTATCCCTCCTGCCTATCTACCAACCGATTGAATCAAGACACCAAAACAAGAAGAGAAAATAAAGAAAACATTACTCAAACAACCAAATAAAGAAAAGTATGATGCTATCCAAAACCAGCTAATGATGGTGATATTATTATTTACTATCTAATTCTATATATGCACTTGTCATTAGAATAAGGATGGTTTTATCAATATTTTACATATGGTATTTATTCATTCCTAGCAAACAAATCAAATAGTTGAAAAAAGAGCAAGTTTTAATTTAATTAATTTCTTCTTTGATTTATCATCATCAATTAACTAACTAATGATGATTATTTGATGAATTATTTGACAATAATAACGGGAGAGGGGGAGAGAGAAAGAGAGGGGACAAACCAGTGAGAGCTTGTAAGTTATTTTCGATTTCACGGCAAGCCATGACAGCTTCAACGGCATGGACTCTGACATGTTGTTGAAGCTGTTCTTTGAAAGTACACAGCACTATCAAATATTGTGCCTGCAGCAAACAAGTAATAAGAAAAACACCATAAACAACAAAAACACTTTCCCATGTTAAAACCCTCCAAAAAAACAACAGACAAAACAAGAAAATCTCAAACCACAAAAACAAAACGAAGAAAAGTCTTCAAAACACTAGGGTCCAGGAGGGGAAAATTAATCTTTGAAAAGAAAAATTGAAAGAAGAAGAAGAAAAACTGACCAAGAAGTTATCAAGCTCCTGTCTGTCATGGGGGGATAGGGAGTGGCCATGTTGGTGATGCTGTGAAGCATACGACCTAAGAAGATTATGAGACTGTGCCAACTGCGCATCGATTAGAGGCAACTGATCAATAGGTGTAGCAACCCGGAGACAAGAAACATGAGCTGCTAAAAGCTGCTCATAAAGCGGATGAGTAGCTATCTCAGCCTTGAGCTGACGATTCTGGTCACCGGAAACAGACACTTCACCGCTGCTTAAGCCTCCAATTGCACCACTCCCACCACTACTCATCATGCCTAACCCGGGTTCTTGCATTTCTCGAAACCACTAAAGAGTAGAGCAACTGTGTGTGTGTGTGTGTGTGTTGTATATAGATAAAGCGCTAAAGGGAAAGTGTAATAAGGTGTGAAGGGAAAAGAGAAAGGGTATTTCACTATTTTGTAAACAAAAAAAAGAAAGGTTTCGATGTACTGTGTATAAAGAAATGAAGAAGCAGTAAAGGACCACAAAGAAAGACCCTTGTGCCTGAGAGTGAACTAAGGTTAGGTTATATTATTATATGCTGGAGTGTTTTCAATGGGGAGAAAGAGAGAGACCGAGAGGGAAACACCAAGGCAGTTTTTTTCTCGTTAATGGTGTAAGGAGAGATGCAGTGTTATCGGGATCTGAGACACAAGACTTTCTGCACCACCCTCTGCTATGTCTGCAGGGTTTTTACATACACAGAGAAAGTTGAAGTAGCAAAAACATGAAAGGGGGGTAGGGGAGGGATTTTCCAAAGTTTTCTTTTGTTTTCAAGTCTGAGAGAAAAAGATAGGAGGGGAAGGAGGGGAAGGAGAGGCCAGCTATGGAATCATTACCATGAAAGAGTGTTGGGAAAATAGGTCAGATAAAGCAAAGGGAAAAACCATAGATAAAGCTGCTTCCATGGCCTGACAATTTGATTGCTTTTTGTTTTTTCTCCCTTTTTTTTTATAATTAAAAACTATTTTTGGATTTCTTTTTTTACTTTTATTTTAAGATATGGTGCGTTAAGCAAATAAGCAAGTGGGTTTGATTGGGGTCTGGTGCATTAAGTAATATTTAATCAACCTTGAATTTTCAGAATAGAAGTTTGATTGCCTGTGTTAATCCAAGGTCATTAATCGTGTAAGTCTCTTCTTTTGTACGTATTATCTGAATTTTTCATGAATTACAAAATCTACCCTCGATTTTTATCAAATATTGATATCACAGGTTTAAAATTAATAAAAAATATAATGAATTTCAAACTTATAATAAAATTATTTTTTTCTATTTAATAGAAATATCTTTTAATTCAAAAATATAGACCGTGACACGATCATATACTTAATGATCTCCTTCATATCTTCAAATTTGAGAACTACTTTAATTTTTAAATAATAACTGGAAAGCTTTTTCCCTCTAACTTTAGTGGGTATTTTTTTTTCTTATTTAGCCTTGATTGTATATGATTAAAGAAAAGTTAGAATTAATTAAAGTATGGAGCACACTTCATTGCCAGGTGAGGACAATTTTGGTGGTCACTGTATAAAGGTCTGCTGACTTTTAGCAAAAAGGTCCTCTTCATTTCTTATTTTCTGTCATCACTGTTACACGTATAGTTTTAGGGTAACCAGTCTACATCCCAGCAACTGTAATTTCACTTTTTAAATTTTTTTTACAGAAAAAAAAAAAGAAAATATATATTTTCAACTAATTTCATTTCATTAGTTCAACATCCCAATAAAGTATGTTGTGAAATATTTACTTCATTTCTTTAACTTCAAACTACTGCCACTACTTTGACCATTTATTTTTTATAAAAAAATCATAAATGAAAAAATAAAAAAAACTTTAAAAAACATGATGCAAATTGTATTTATTTATTTTAAAAAGTATTCGTTATTTTTTAAATATTTAAACTCTAATCATATTATTTGATATAATCTTAAAACTTTTTAATTTTAATAATACTGCAATCTTAGCATTGAAAAATACCCTTGTAAAAGATTTTTTTTAAAAAAAAGGGAAAGAAATGCAAATAATTAAGCCATAATTTGAAAAGGACAGATTAATCATACAAAACCATCCAGTAAAGAGAGAAAACTAAAGAAGAGAAGAGTAAATAAAAATAAAGGGCTTTTTTCCTTTAATACCAACTTTTTAATTAACTCCAATATTTTGTTATTTAAGAAAGTCGGCTTATGGTTGAGCTGTCAGCTGTCAGTGTTCCGCCTCCTTTTGGCGGGTGCATGCTTTTCAGTTTGCAAGGCCTTTTTTTATTGTCTTTCCCTATTATCATTTTACTAAAGTTTTTATTTTCGTTTGTATATTAAATGTACAAATTATACAATCATGTAACATGTTCCTTTATTATTAGACTACAAGTTGACAGACCACCAGAACGGGTTGGACAATGACCTCTGATGGGATAATAATAACCGTTTGATCAGATGAGAAATACTTCAAGTCTAATCTTTTATTTCATATTTATATTCAAAATTATTCTATACACCGACAATAAATTTTTTAAATTTATTATTTAAAATCTTATTGCATTTAAGTTGAAATATATAATAGCATTATGTAAACATATATATGATCAAAAATTAACTTGATATTATTAGGGATAATATCTAAACAAATCTCTAAACTATTTTAAAATGTTCAAATAAATTTTTATATTTTTATTACGTTCATATTTTAAACTCATTAAGTCTTTATACTTTTATTTTAAATTAAATAAATTTTATAATTAATTATTAACTTAATTAAAATATTATTTATTATTTTATATTATATAATATTGATTTGATATGTTAAAATATTATAATTAAAGATGATATGGTATATTAATATATTATAATTGATAATGATGTGATTTTTTATATAAAATAAGTAACAATGATGTAGCATATTAATTTGATATGATAATATAGTCATGTGATATTTTTCACTTTCTACATCAACAACATGTTAATGTCATATGGATATAAAATTATAAGTAATAGTTTAACTAATAATAATTAGTCAATCATTAATTATAAAAACTTATTTTACTCAGAATAAAAATATAAGAGTTTGATTGAATGTAATATAAAAGCTTGTTTTAATATGGACAATCAACACACATATATATCTTGTTTTTATATCTAATTTGTATAATCAAAAGATTGCATGCTTATTACTCCTTTCATTTCATTTTGTTTATTTTTATTGACTTTTTTTTTATAAAACAAGTTCAATTTTAATCATTTTTTTAATAAAATTATAAAAATTTTAAAAATAATATTCATAAATATTGAATTTAAAATTTTTTTAATATATTTTTTTAGATTTTAATTTTATATAATAGTAAAAAAATAATGACCAAAATTGAATTCACTTGGCCAAAAAAATCAGTAAATGATAAATAAAATGAGACAAAAAGAGTGTTTTTTTCCTAATTAAGTTAAAAAATATATAATATTGATATTTGAAAAGGATTTTTTTTGTGAACATCATTTTGTTTAAAGTCACATACTATCTTTTATTTAATTACTTCCCCCTAAAAAACTAATGGAAAAATACTTTATTACTCATTAAGAAAAACAACCCAATCTACATTTCATGGAGGCCAAAAAAAAAAAAACAAAGAGATTTGTCTGGTGCTTGTTCCGTTTTCCAGTTTTTTGGTCTTCGTTAATAAGAAATAACTTTGTTTAACCATTTTCTTGATAAAAAAACAAAGAGAGAAGATAATATGAATAATGACACGAACACTCACATACTTAGTTCAAATCAAACAAAATGTCATTTCCACCTCTTTTATTCATATATACACATATAACACAATTAAAATTAATTAACAGATAATATATTACCCTATTTTAGGAAGGGTGTGGTCTAAGGGATTCAAATTTCTGATTCTGCCCTTTTGACTCTGTAATATTGACGTTGGCAGCCATCAATTTTTCTTTCTTTTTTTTTTTAACCTTTATGGATGTTTCTTTGGAAAGCTATGCAATTGGATAATTCTGAGCATGTTTTTATTTTATTTTAAAGTGGACTATCATGGTCGGTACTCGGCATATAGGAAGACAAATCTTGGATGTTTCCCACTGGTGGTGGGCCCATTTGTAAGACAAGTTTAGGCAGTGGGTCCTACTCTATTTGAGGAACTAAAAAATAAAAAAGAAAAAGATGACGGAGAGTTGCCATGGAGTTGATTTCAAGCAATAAAAACAATACAACATG